GTTGTTTTTTTTAGCTATGCGAGCTGCGGTGGCTTTTTTAGAATATGCTTAGGAATACAGTATTAATTGCTGCTTGCAGTGTTTCTCAGCCGTAGCAATTTGAAGACGCGTCGTGGGGGAATTCTGAGAATTGAAGTCCACACCTCTTAAAGGTAGTCCTCGACTTATGGCCAGAATTGAGTCCAACATTTCGGTTGTTAAGCGAATTTTGCCCCATTTTATGACTTTTCTTTTCACAGTTGTTAAGCGAATCACTGAAGTTCTTAAATTTGTCACCCGGTTGTTAAGTGAATCTGGCTTCCCCCATTGACTTTGCTAATCAGAAGGCCGCAAGAAGAGATCACGTGACTCCGGGACATTGCGACCGTCATAAATGTGAATCGGTTCCCAAGTGTCTGAATTTTAATCATGTGATCCTGCGGATGCTACAACGGTCATTAGTGCGAAAAATGGTCATAAATCACTTTTTTCAATCCCGTTGTAACTTTGAGCGGTCACTAAATGAACTGTTGTAAGTCGAGGACTACTTGTAAATGCGTGGTGTTATAAACTAGGGTGCTTGCCTTCAGCTCGCGATGTTGGGTTTTCTGTGTTCGCTTTCCTTTAAAAATGTTTTATTGCAATTTTTAATTTTAAAAAATCAGATTTTTGAAAAGTAATCTGCAGATGCCTTAGGAGATAATATAATTTAGCATAAATATTAAAATTATTAGATTTATTACTGGAATAAAACAGAAAACAATCCTCCCAAGAATGAATATATTAATCACCTGCATGTATCTTTCATATATATATATGAAAAAATATCAAATTAGCCATAACAATGATATATTCTTGTACAATATTATAAAATCTATACCAAAGGAAAACATTGTGTCATATTTTGATTGATAGAAAAAAAAATAGCCTTTTTGATAATTGATAAATTACAGGTAGTCCTCGATTTACGACCACAATTGAACCCAACTTTTCTATGGCTAAGCAAAACACTTGTTAAGTGAATTATGCCTCATTTTACAACCTTTCTTTTGCCACAGTTGTTAAGTGAGTCACATGTTTGTTAAGTCAATCTGGCTTCCCTATTTGACTTCGCTTGTCAAAAGATCGCAAAATGGGACCACATGACCCCGGGACACTGTAACCGTCATAAATATGAGTCGATTGCCGATCACATGATACGGGGATGTTGCAACGGTCGTAAGTGTGAAAAACAACGATAAGTGCCTTTTTTCTGTGCTTGAACAGTCACTAAATGAACTGTTGTAAGTCAAGGACTACCTGTGAAGATTTCTTCCGTCCTCATCTTAACGTCCGAACTGAAATTTACAATCTTAAACTCTCCTCCTGGGTCATAACAAAGTCACAGTCTTCTCTTTAATTTAAGAGGTTCTTTTCTTCTGGACTGGAAAATAAAAATCGTTAATGACTACTTGTACTCTTCAAATGTACTTTCCAAAAAGCACTCTATTAATAAAAACAGGAAAAAAGATCACATATTTCTGATTTGTGTTTCATTGCCGTGTTCGAATGACGGTGTGATGTGGCCTGTTGGCCGCCAGCCCCTCCAGCAGCCGAATCAGAGGAGGAGGAGGAGGAGGCGTGGGAGTCGGGGTCAGCATCAGGGAAACCTGAGTGGGAAGAGGGAATGGAGCTGTCCGAAAGGGAAACAGAGGCAGAGCCTGTCCATCAGCCCTCAGATGGAGAGTCAACAGCCTCCAAGTCTGGAGGTGGCTGATGAGGAGGAGGAGGAACAGCTGGGTCCTGTGCCTGATTTGCAGAAGGCAGAGGAGAGGAGAGCAGTGGAAATCTATGGGCCGGTCCTCGGGACGGAAGAGCCACCGCTGCTAGTGAAGCCCCACTCTACCTCTGGAGATAAAAGGCAGAGGGCGCAGATGTGTGCGAATATAGGTTATCTACGGATGCAAAATATATTAGCAATAGCAATAGACTTATATACCGCTTCACGGTGCTTTCCAGCCCTCTCTAAGCGGTTTATAGAGTCAGCTTCTTGCCCCCAACCATCCGGGTCCTCATTTTACCCACCTTGGAAGGCTGAATCAACCTTGAGCCTGGTGAGATTCGAACTGCCAAACTGCTGGCAGCCGGCAGTCAGCAGAAGTAGCCTGCAGTACTGCACTCTCACCACTGAGAGAGGGAGGGAGGGAGAGAGAGAGAGGGAGGGGGAGAGAGAAGGAGAAGGGAGGGAGAAAGAGAGAAGGAGAGAGGGAGGGAGGGAGGGAGAGAGAGAGAATGAGAAAGAGAAAGAATGAGAGAGAGAGAGAAAGAGAGAGAATGATTAATATATTAAAATATATTAAAATATACCTAACCTTAACTAGTAGTCTTGGTGAGTTTTAACTATTATGGATGCTAAAATTCTGCCATGAATCAGATTTCTTTTATTAAAAAAACCCCCCAGTTTTTAATTTACTTTTTTCATCTGGCACCACCGGCAAAGGAGAAGGTAAAAATTATAGCATGTACTTCTAATCATTCCACAAATCATTGTAAGAGGCTTTTTTTTTCCTACCTCTATCAAAAGGGCAAATCATATCGATTTTTTTTTTAATGGAAGAAAAAATCCTTTTGAAATTTATTCCCTGTTTGCCCCTACTTATTGTGACAGCTCTTAAGTGAAAAGAGATCAGCGTGAATATTAATATTGGTATTTTTTTTAATGGATCGCTCTGTTCCACTGAGTGGTTTCAATCGTTTTTTCTTTCTTTAAAGGGTGTCAATAACTAATGGATTTTTAAAGAAGGATATTTGAACAGTTTGTCCTGTTTTTTTTTTCCAGCCATGAAAAAGGATTAATATTTGTGCGTTTCCCTTCATTCAACTTGAAAAGAAAATACTGAGGGGTGTGGTCAGGGGTGGGATTGAAAAATTTCAGCAACCGGTTCGCTGCCTGGTTGCTGGGTGGGTGTGGCCATGGGGTGTGTGGCCTACTCGGCCTCCTGCACCACAGCGGGGGTGGGGGCTTTTCGCCCTCCCCAGGCTCTAGAGGTTTTCCTTGAGCCTCCGGGAGGCCAAAAACAGCCTCCCCTGCACACTGGAGGCCCTCTGGAGGCTGGAAATGGGTCTGTTTCCAGACTTCCGGTACTTCCGGTAAGCCTGTTTTTTGCCCTCCCCAGGCTCTGGAGGCTTTTCTGGAGCATCCAGGAGGGCAAAAGCAGCCTCCCCCAGGCACTGGAGGCCCTCCGGAAGCCAGAAATGTGTCTGTTTCCAGACTTCCGATAGGCCCGTTTTTTGCCCTCCCCAGGCTCTGGAGGCTTTCCTGGAGCATCCAGGAGGGCAAAAACAGCCTCCCCCAGGCACCGGAGGCCCTCTGGAGGCCGGAAATGGGCCCGTTTTCAGACTTCCGGTACTTCCGGTAGACCCATTTTTCGCCCTCTCAGAGCCTCTGCGTGCGCCCTGCACTTACCTGGCATCCAAAATGGGCTGCGTGGAGACTCCTGGGAGGGGCGTGGTGGGCGGGGTCAGCCAGTCCTTGGAACAACCGGTTCGGCGAACCAGATTAAAATTAACATGCGGTTCGCCCGAACCGGTCTGAACCAGGTGAATACCACGCCTGTGTGCGGTTGTGTTATACATAGTCTGGATTCTTAGAATCGGTAACTGGATTCAGACAGTACATTAATTAATTACAGGTAGTTGTCAACTTACGGCCGCAATTGAGATCAAACTTTCCATTGCTAAGCGAGACAGTTGTTAAGTGAGCTTTGTGTCCCATTTTACGACCTTCCTTCCCACAGCTGTTAAGTGAATCACCGCAGCTGTTATGTTAATAACATGCTTAAGTGAATCTGGCTTCCCCGTGGCTTGTCAGAAGGTCGCAAAAGGGGATCAACTGACCCCGTGACACTGCAAGCGTCATAAAGATGAGTCAGTTGCCAAGCATCCGAATTTTGATTGTGTGACCACAGGGATGCTACAAGGATCATAAGTGTGAAAAACAATCCTAGAATTGCTTGTAACTTCGAACGGTCACTAAATGAAAATGTTGTAAATTGAGGACTACCTGCGTTGTTGGGTTTTTAAAAAATTTTTATTTATACATTTTTCTGGGTTAGGGTTAGGGTTGCTGAGCCAATTTACTTATTCATAATAATAGTAGTAGTAGTAGTAGTAGTAGTAGTAGTAATAATAATAATAATAATAATAATAATAATAATAATAATAATAATAATAATAATAATATTTACTTGTATATAGTGGTATTCTTCCAACTTCTAATTTGGGGTAAAGCAAATCCCATGTTAAAAATATTCTGTATCTTCTTTATCCTTTATCCTTAATGTTAACCTATCCATTTCCGCACCATTTAATATTTTTTAAAATCATATTTTCATCTGTAGGAATTTCCTCATTTTTCCAGTGTTCTGCAAATACAATTCTCGCTGCTGTCAAAACAGGTGGTATTAAGTATACATCCCCTTTGTCATATTTTTCTGGCAATATACCTACCGTGTTTCCCTGAAAATAAGACCTCCCTGGATAATAAGGCTTCCCCCAAAAATAAACCTTCCCCGAAAATAAAGCCTCCCCGAAAATATTTAACTCCATGAGCAGCTGGTCCCACTATTTCCTCTGGTTAGGATTAGTGAGACAGAGTCCCTCGGGAGTTGGGCGGCATAGAAATGTGATAAATTAAATTAAATTAAATCAGGAAAGCCGGCAAGAGGAGCCCCATCTTGCTCCACACGCCCCAAAATAATAAGACCTTACCGAAAATAAGGCCAAGCGCTTATTTCAGGGTTCAAAAAAATATAAGACGGGGTCTTATTTTCAGGGAAACACGGTAACAAAAATATTTCTAGCTTTAAATGTATGTATTGCTTTATCATTTTCTCTAACCATGTATGTATTTTCATCCAGAAATGTTGGAAACGGGTTCATACCATCATATGTGGTGGACATGCCCCAAGGCAAAAGAAAATCTGGACTACCTGTGTTTGTTAAACATTCTTTCTCTCGTCTGTTCCCATCAATTCCACCAGGTAATTCCGGATTGGAAAGAGCAAGAATGGTCCTCGGAGAAGCCGCAAAATTATGCCGGGATTTTCCATTTCCAGTTCTGGCGTTTTGGCCGGTGGATCGACGTGGTGATCGACGACCGGCTGCCAACCCTCCACAACCAACTCATCTATTGCCATTCCAACTCCAAGAACGAACTGTGGTGCGCTTTGGTGGAAAAAGCGTACGCGAAGTAAGGAGACCCCGGGGATTCCGTATCTTATCAGCTTTTCCTGACCTAGGGGGTCCCACAGATCTTATCTGGCAAAAGGTGGATCCGGCCCCTCGGGGTGCTTAAATGTGGCTTGTGGGGCCGGCCTGCGGTGCCTCTAGCAGCCAAAATGGGGCATGGGGGGGGGCACGTGAGCCCCCCCCCCCGTGTGCTATTTTGGCTGGCAGGGTGCTGCAGGAGGCCATCCAGGCTGAAATGGGACACGAGGGGACTTCACACGGCCCCCCGCACCCTGTTTTCACCAGCAGGGTGCTGCGGGAGGCCATGCAGGCTGAAAATGGGGCACGAGGGGACTTCATGCGCCCCCCCTGCACCCCGTTTTGGCCGGCAGGGTGCTGCAGGAGACCATGCAGGCTGAAAACGGGGCACGAGAATTACAACGCTGATCCCACCCTCGAAGAAATCCAGTTTGACACCCCTAACCTAAATGAATTCGTCAGCGAGGCTTATTGGGTTTCCAAGATTCTTCAGCTCAATTTCTTGATGTTCAACCTGATTAATATAATCCTACGCGGTTCTGGCTCCCTGGTTATGCGCTGATGTCAGGAGCTCTAAACAAGCTGTTGGTGCAAACCTTGGTTCTCTCTGGGCTTGGTTCTCGGCTTGCAGACGTCTCATTACCGAATTAGGTAACACCATCAGTGCTAGAAGGAAGAGGGGCATGCTGTTTTTTATACTATATATGAGTGGCTTACCCTGTCGGTGTTGGTGGGAATGTTCTTAGTGGTTCTTGGTGGGGGTTCTTAGTGGTCCCTCGTGTAACTGATTGCTATATAAACAGAGAAAAAACCCCACTCCCTTCTAGCACTGATGATGTTCCCTAGCTGGGTAACGAAACATCTGCAAGCAAACAACCAGATCCAGGGAGCACCAAAAATGGCATAGTTCAACCCTGAATTACAGATATTTTCTTCTGTTGAAGTGCCTCTTGTTTTTTTAGTCTTTTGCTAAAATCTCCCCAGGCTCAAGGTTGACTCAGCCTTCCATCCTTTCAAAGGTAGGTAAATTGAGGACCCAGTTTGTGGGGGCAATAAGCTGACTTTGTATAAATATACAAAAGGATGAAGGCTATTGCTTAACGCATTGTAAGCCGCCCTGAGTCTCCGGAGAAGGGCGGCATATAAATCTAATTTTAAAAAAAACCCAAAACCTCCTGCTGACACTTGTCAAATATGTTCGCTATAAGAGGCATTGATGCCCATACAGGCAGTCCTCAACTTAACAACCGCAACTGAGCCCCAAATCTCCCTTGCTAAGGGAGACAGTCACTAAGCGAATCTGGCTTCCCCACTGATTTTGTTTCTCAGAAGAAAAACAAAATGTAATGGGTACAATATAGTTGGTACCTCGCTCAATAGTAGTAACTGGGAGAGGGATCTTGGAGTCCTAGTGGACAACCATTTAGATGTGAGCCAGCTGTGTGCAGCAAAAAAGCCAACACAGTTCTAGGCTGCATCAACAGAGGGATAGAATCAAGATCACGTGAAGGGTTAATACCACTTCATAAGGCCTTGGTAAGGCCACGCTTGGAATTTGGCATCCAGTTTTGGTCGCCACGATGTAAAAAAGATGTGGAGACTCTAGAAAGAGTGCAGAGAAGAGCAACGAAGATGAGGAGGGGACTGGAGGCTTAAAACATATGAAGAACGGTTGCAGGAATTGGGTGTGTCTAGTTTAATGAAAAGAAGGACTAGGGGAGACAGGATAGCAGACTTCCAATATCTGAGGGGCTGCCACAAAGAAGAGGGAGTCAAGCTATTCTCCAAAGCACCAGAAGACAAGACAAAAATGGATGGAAACTAATCAAGGAGCGAAGCAACCTAGAACTAAGGAGGAATTTCCTGACAGTGAGAACAATTAATCAGTGGAACTACTTGCCACCAGAAGTTGTGAATGCTCCAACACTGGAGATTTTTAAGAAGATGTTGGAGAACCACATGTCTGAAGTGGCGTAGGGTTTCCTGCCTAAGCAGGGGGTTGGACTAGAAGACCTCCAATGTCCCTTCCAACTCCTCTATTCTATTCTATTCTATTCTATTCTATTCTATTCTATTCTATTCTATTCTATTCTATTCTATTCTACTCTACTCTACTCTACTCTACTCTATTCTATTCTATTCCTATTATTTCTTCTATTCTATTCTACTCTACTCTACTCTACTCTACTCTACTCTACTCTACTCTACTCTACTCTACTCTACTCTACTCTACTCTATTCTTATTATTTATTCTATTCTATTCTACTCCACTCCACTCCACTCCACTCCACTCCACTCTCTCTATTCTATTCTATTCTATTCTATTCTATTCTATTCTATTCTATTCTATTCTATTCTATTCTATTCTATTCTATTCTATTCAGATTGCTATTCAGATGATCCCGGGGTCACTGCAACCATCCTTAAGAACATGCCCGTTGCCAACCTATGATCTCATGACCATGGGGATGGGGCAACCGTCTTAAGTGTGAGGAATGGTCATAAGTGTGAGGAACAGTTCTGAATGGGAAATCTCTTTCTTATTCCACCCGTAGACTCTCGGGATGCTACGAAGCCTTAGACGGAGGCAACACGGGCGATGCCTTGGTGGATTTTACCGGGGGGGTCTCGGAACCGATTGACCTGGTCGAAGGAGGCTACGCCAATGATGAAGCCAAACGAAATCTCCTTTTTGAGCGGGTGTTGAAGGTTCATAACCGAGGAGGTCTCATCAGCTGCTCCATCAAAGTAAGCAGGTCTGGTCAGGAGCAGAATAAGGAAGAATGTTATTGATCTCACCGGATTGAGGTGGGGAAAATTTTGAGGTGGGCTTTCCCTTACTCTACTACACCAGGGGTGGAGAAACAATGGCGCCTTTTATGACTTGTGGACTTCAACTCACAGAATTCCTGAGGAGAGTCAGCATAAAAAGTTTGCAGCCATGGCTGGCTCAGGGATTCTGGGAGTTGAAGTCCACAAGTCATAAAATGGCCGTAATTCCCCTTGCTCGTTCAGGGATTCTGGGAGTTGAAGTCCACAAATCATAAAATGGCCATAGTTCCCCTCCTGGCTGAGGGATTCTGGGAGTTGAAGTCCACAAGTCATAAAATGGCCGTAATTCCCCTTGCTCGTTCAGGGATTCTGGGAGTTGAAGTCCACAAGTCATAAAATGGCCATAGTTCCCCTCCTGGCTGAGGGATTCTGGGAGTTGAAGTCCACAAGTCATAAAATGGCCATAGTTCCCCTCCTGGCTGAGGGATTCTGGGAGTTGAAGTCCACAAGTCATAAAATGGCCATAGTTCCCCTCCTGGCTGAGGGATTCTGGGAGTTGAAGTCCACAAGTCATAAAATGGCCGTAATTCCCCTTGCTCGTTCAGGGATTCTGGGAGTTGAAGTCCACAAGTCATAAAATGGCCGTAATTTCCCTTGCTCATTCAGGGATTCTGGGAGTTGAAGTCCACAAGTCATAAAATGGCCGTAATTCCCCTCCTGGCTGAGGGATTCTGGGAGTATTTCACCAACTTGAGCATCCTTGCCAGAATTTCTTGACCGGGGTCTCAAAAATCAATTTTTAAATCAAGTGTTCTACCCTAAAACACCAAATTCATGCTTTCTCTTTTCAAGGCCGTGTCAGCCGCCGATATGGAAGCCCGGCTGGGCTGTGGCCTGGTCAAAGGCCACGCCTATGCAGTCACCGACGTCCGGAAAGTCCGCCTTGGCCACGGCTTGCTGGCCTTCTTCAAGTCCGAAAAGCTGGACTTGATCCGGTTGAGGAACCCTTGGGGGGAGCGAGAGTGGAACGGCCCCTGGAGTGACACGTAAGTCCGGCTGGGGCACTGTCCGTCCACATGCGCCCATATTTTCTTCTGTCTCATGCAGGGACAAACGCAGGTTGGGGAATGTTGTTCTTGCTTATTAAGAAGGTTTATTTTAATTTTGTTTATTTATCATCATCCTCATCCTCTTTTAACGCCTCCCATAATCCCTTGCGGGATGGAGTCTGGGCAGCTGAATGGAGCTGAGTGTTTACTGGCCGGATGCCCTTCTTGACGCCAGTGCGGAGTTTTGTTCAGCAGATATTCTGCCCAGAGAGATAAATATCAGCCTCTACTTAGGATCGAACTCACAGCCTTCTGATTGTGAGGCGAGAGCTCCACCTCTAGGCCACCGCAACACTCAATTTTATTTATTTATAACCTGTCTTTATTATTTTTATAATAATAAAATAATAAATAAAAAAAAATTCTATTATTCTGTTTTTACAAACAGCTCAAGGGGGCGAATATATGTAAGATATATGCCTATTTTCTTCACAATAACCCTGTGAGGTGGGATGGGCTGAGAGAGACGGAGTGGCCCAAAGTCAACCAGATGGCTTTTATGATTTGGGCGGGATTAGAACTCACTGTCTCCTGATGATAGGCCCAGAGTCACCCAGTTGGCTTTCATAGCAAAGGCAGCACTAGAACTCACCATCTCCTGGTGATAGTCAGCTGGCTTCCATGACTAGGGTGGGACTAGAACTCATTGTCTTCTGGACTTCCGGTCTGGAGCCGCGGCCTGTTTTTGCTCCGAGGGTGGTGCAGGAGGCCGACTAGGCCACGCCCACCATCGCCACGCCCTCCCAGCAATTGGGCAGAGAACCGGTTGTTAAATTATTTGAAGCCCGCCCTTCATGGTCCCGATGTGTTCTCACCATCCCAAAATCTTATTTTTCTTTTTCCAGCTCAGAGGAATGGCAGAAAGTCAGCAGCAGTGAACGAGAGAAACTCGGAATGACCGTGGAGGACGATGGAGAGTTTTGGTGAGCATCCCTGGTGGGCAAAGAAAATTAAAGGGGGATGGTTTGGTAAATCGATCTTAGGCAATATGCTGGCAGAGCTTTCCACCGTGAAACATAAAATGTTGTTCTAATCAAATTCAGCTGTCAACTCGCAAAGCATCCCTGGCCTGCTTTCGAGTTGCCATAAGCCTCTTCTTGAAAACTTCAGGTGTTTGGAGCACCCATAACTTCTGGAGACAAGGTGCTCCACCGGTTAATTGTTTTCACTGTCAGGAAATTCCTCCTTAGTTGTAGGTTGCTTCTCTCCCTTGATGAGTTTCCATCCATTGCTTCTTGTCCTGCCTTCAGAGGAGAACAGTTTGTCCTGCTTTGGAGAACAGCTTGACTCCCTCTTCTTTGGGGCAGCCCCAGAGATATTGGAAGACTGTTATCATGTCTCCCCCTAGTCCTTCTTTTCATTAAACTAGACATACCCAGTTCCTGCAACCGTTCATTGTATGTTTTAGTTTTAGCAATAGCAATAGCACTTAGACTTACATACCACTTCATAGTGTTTTACAGCCCTCTCTAAGCAGTTTACAGAGCCAGCCCATAGCCCCCAACAATCTGGGTCCCCATTTTTTTTTTTTAATTTGATTTATATGCCGCCCTTCTCCGGAGACTCAGGGCGGTTTACAATGCGCTAAGCAATAGCCTTCATCCTTTTGTATATTTATACAAAGTCAGCTTATTGCCCCCACAATCTGGGTCCTCAATTTACCTACCTTAGAAAGGATGGAAGGCTGAGTCAACCTTGAGCCTTGGCGAGATTCAAACCTGCAGTAATTGCAGGCAGCTGGTCTTAATAACTAGTTTAATAACAGGGTGCCTTAGACCACTGAACTACCAAGGCTCTTTACCCACCTTGGAAGGATGGAAGGCTGAGTCAACCTGGAGCTGGTCAGGATCGAATTGCCAACAGATATAGATAGGTAGGTAGGTAGGTAGCAGTGGTGAAATCCAAATTTTTTTACTACAGGTTCTGTGGGCGTGGCTTGGTGGGCGTGGCAGGGGAAGGATACTGCAAAATATCCATTCCTACCCCACTCCAGGGGAAGGATATTGCAAAATCCCCATTCCCTCCCCACTCTGGGGTCAGCCAGAGCCGGTAATTGCCGGTTCTCCAAACAACTCAAAATTTCTGCTACCGGTTCTCCAGAACCTGTCAGAACCTGCTGGATTTCACCCCTGGTAGGTAGGTAGGTAGGTAGGTAGGTAGATAGGTAGATAGATAGATAGATAGCAACAGCACTTAGACTTATATACTGCTTCATAGTGCTTTTACAGCCCTCTCTAAGCGGTTTACAGAGTCAGCCTCTTGTCCCCCAACCATCTGGTCCTCTTTTTACCCACCTTGGAAGGAGGGAAGGCTGAATCAACCTTGAGCTGGTTAAGATCGAATTGTTGGCAGCGGGCAAAGTTAGCCTGCAAGACTGCATTCTAACCACTGTGCACCATGGATGGATGGATGGAGGGAGGGGAGGGAGGGAGGGGAGGAAGGAAGGAAGGAAGGAAGGAAGGAAGGAAGGAAGGAAGGAAGGAAGGAAGGAAGGAAGGAAGGAAGGAAGGAAGGAAGGAAGGAAGAGCAATAGCACTTACATACCGCTTCATAGTGTTTTACAGCCCTCTCTATGCGATTTACAGAGTCAGCTTCTTGCCCCCAACAATCTGGGTCCTCATTTTACCCATCTCGGAAGGATGGAAGGCTGAGTCAACCTTGAGCCTGGTGGGATTTGAACTGCCAAATCGCAGGCAAATTTCAGTACATTTTAGATGAGTTGTGTGTTTAAAATAAATCCAACCGGAGTATTTCTTAGGGAAAGCACAGGAAAAATGTGTGCTTTCCTTCTGGGCCGACGGAAGAAGATAACTGCAAGCTTTTGAATACAAGATCCGCTTTGGGTAGCCAAGGAAAGATGACCTGTATAGAGCAATGAAAGGTGAGATATTCCAGAATCGGATGTCCGGTCCTCCTTTTTCCTAGGATGGCCTTTGATGACTTCTGTACATACTTCACCGACATCATCAAATGCCGCCTGATCAACACGTCCTACCTGAGCATCCATAAGACGTGGGAAGAAGCCGTCTTGAAGGGCTCCTGGACGCGGCACGAAGACCCCTTGAAGAACCGTTGTGGAGGCTGTGTCAACAACAGGGATACTTTCTTGCAAAACCCCCAGGTAGGAAGGTCAAGAAGGAGATCGAGAAAGGCATTAGAGCTGGGGGGGGGTCAAACCGGATTTCTTCGAGGGCCGGATCAGCATTGTAGTTCTCCTCTGTGGGCTGGCGGGAGCAGCGGGAGGGGAGTGGCGGGGGGAGAGATGGGACGGATGTCTCCGGCAGCATCCTGCTAGCCAAAATGGGGTGCGTGGAGGCCCCCACAAGGTACGTTTTCGCCCTCCATGGCCTCCTGCAGCACTCCGTCGGCCAAACAATGTCGGCTGACGGCCCCCAGGAGGAGAGCGTTCTCCGTGGGAGCCCCGACCCTCTGGAATGGATTGCCCACCGAGCTCAGGACAGCCCCCGACCTTCTTTCCTTCCATCGCGAGCTGAAGACTTGGTTCTTCCGTCAACTCAACTGATCCGTTTGGGGATACACTGTCATAATTTTAAACTGTTTTAATAGGGTTGCTGATTTTAATTTTATTTCATTGTGATTTGGATTGGAATTTGTCATTTTGTAAGCCGCCTTGAGTCCCCCACAGAGAAAGGCGGCATATAAATTGCAATAATAAATAAATAAATAAAAAATGGGCGGCCCATTTTTGGCCGGCAGAGCAGGGGTGAAATGCTCCCGGTTCGGACCGGATTGCCCAATCCGGTAGCGATGGCGGCGGGTGGTTCGGAGAACTGGTAGCAAAAATCCCTGCCCCTCCCCACTCCCATGCCCAGCTGAGCCACGCAATCATCAGAGGCTTTTTTTTTTTTTACTTTTAAAAGCATTTTTTCTACAACCTCTTCGGCCGAAAAAATGCTTTTAAAAGTAAAAAAAAAAAAAAAAA